TCTATTCACTTTCTAATCTTGCACTTTTATAGGACTGTTGTGGTTAATACCTTCTGACTACCTCTTTGGATGAATTAATAGAGAAGGGAAATAATCCATGGAGGTTGAACACTTACTCCAGTGGATCATCGTACCCATGATCAGTTTTGTTTGTCCTTTTTCATATCTGGCTCGTGTAATGCGGTGTAGACAGATAATCTATCTTTATCCTCTTTCTGTAACAGATAACACTCTACACCATATAACAGCGTCGGTCAAACTGCTGCAGCATACTCACACTGTAGACCCTTTAGAGACAGGCGGACGTCGTGACAGCACCAGTTGGGCAAACACCGTCCGTGCCTCTCTATGCGTACGAATAATTTATCTGTGTTGAGGTGTGACTTCTCGAATAGAAAATGAGTCTACTTTTTCTACTGATCCCCCGTTTAAAATGGTTCTGGGTACTGAACCAACCTAGTCCTATAAGGACATTTTACACTGTTAAGGTTCAAAATGCGTGCCAAATCATTCATAAAAACTTAAATTACCTGGGTGTTCTTTTAGCAGAACAGTATTATCAGCATGCTTCTAATAAGATAACTCTCCACCCGGGTGCGTATCAAGACCACTATAGTCGCACACAGAGGGAGTTGTTACCGGAATCACCTTCATCACGAAGTCGAATGGAAAAAGAGAGATAGAGAGAACAAGTCTGCGGAACACCCATTTCCGTGGTGAAGTCGGGACAAAGTACCCTAAAACCGATTTCAACTATCGGTATTCAGAGCTAGTCAGTTTGAAGCTTCTGCGGCACGTCGTTGAAGAACATTTCCCCTATACTGTAATGAATTCCAATCTATGTCTCCGTTTCCTAAATTTTACATTTGGCCTATTTCGTTCCTCTCAATAGGTTTTCTCTGTTTGATATTAACCGCTATCTGAAAACCATTTTTCACATCCAGGCAAATGACGAGATCAAATTTATCTTTATTTTCCTCAAACACCTTGGCACTGTACGTTCTGTGTGTGCGCGCGCGTGATGTCTCTGTCTTTCAAAAATTTGAATTTAAATTATAAACCGAATTTCGGACAATTGTCCTAATCTCAGTTTCATCGACTCTTGGTTGTCTACGAGTGACTTCATTTATAGACCAATTGATGGGGAAATGGTTTACGGGATAAAGATTAAGGGATCAAGCACTATTGGGCTAAATACAGAGAGGGATAAATGGAATCCGAATAGAGAAACAAATATTTGAGCACTGCTGATAATTTCTAAACCACTCTTATGTCGTAAAACAGCCGCTTACTAGGTGAGATAAGATAAGCGAGCTCCGAAGATGTGTAGCAGAGATACGACAGAGACTGGTTGCACGGGACATTAACCTTCCGTGAAGAAGACCCATTGCAATTTTATTGTCTCATGCGTGACCCACTTTTTGCCAATCGTCTGACATAGGACAGTCAATATGGGAGAACAGTGCTGTTTGACGCTGTCATTCTTATGAACCTATATTCTCAAATTGGGATATGCGAGAGAGAGAGAGAGAGATAGCAGGTGGCTGTTCAAGACGCGCAGTGACAAACTCTAATAACATATGCAGTCAACAGAAACCGCTCCATTCGGTCAATCGTCTTTCCTCGTCGACCGCTATCGTCTTTGGTTAGCGTCTTTCACAGAACGGTGAATTCGGCGTCTCACAGTCTTTGCACACAGTCTAACACTGATGTCTTAGATTTCAACATTCTTATGCACTACTAAAGTCCAATTGCGCCAATCATTTCCAAAAACAATTTTCCAGTTTCATGCTCTTCATCTCATTTGTGGTTCATGAAGGTTTTAATAATTTTACTTGGAAAATGTTGCCTCTATATGATTAGTTAGATACACCCAGTTGCACCAGCAAGCGAGTTATTCTGGGTGAAATGATTTGCCGTGAATGTGAATTCATTGCTAGCCCTTTGGGACCTAGGGTTTGCATGGCGATTTCATATTTAATGAAAATGATTAGCAGAGACCATGGAATGTGGTATCTCTTGGTAGTACGCTATCGTGTCTCAATTTAGCGGTCAGTTTCGGGGTAAAACCTCACAAAATGTCATCAGTATAGGAATATGGCAACAGCATTCCTGTTTTTCGGATTTTTAATCCATTTATCACTCACGTGACCGGAGCCTATTCAACTGTTTGTCTACTCCTTTTAAACTTCACTGTCTTCCAGATCGTTTCTGTCGCGTTACTCAGCTCGTTCGACCAAGTCGGACGAATTGGACTCGTGTTTCACCGACGGCCCCAGTTCGGCGAACTCCGCTGGTCGTTCTCTGACTTCAACCGAACCGGCGCGACAGCAGTTGGCTGCACTCCGCCTAGTCGAAACAGGAATAGACGAAAATGCAGCCAATCGTACATTGAAGGTGCCCGCCGTGCGAACAAGTGAAGCTTGGCATCGTAAGTCCGATCGGATCTCGTTTCCCTTTGAATTACTCATCTTTCATTGGCCTTATTCACAATTGATCAGACTTGATCACCTTGAAGTCAGATGTTTGTTAGCTGTTTGTGTTTTTACTCAGTGACTCCAGCAATTTTACTTTTTGATTTTTTTTTCGTTTTATTTGACGGTACTCCCGAGTGTTCTGTCTTCCGCCATTCTGAGGATCTTCACTGCACACAGACGTAATTGCATAATGGATCCTCGCCGGCTTCAGCTTTGCCGTGCGTGAGTTAAGTGAAATGGGTCAAAACGTTTATGGCTGATCTCAAGGCACCCGTGATGCACCCTACGGATGCTATCCAGAAGAGTCGGCTCGATCGCCGGTGTTACTCTTTCCGTATCGGAGTATGCACTGGAACTGTCTTCCCTCTAAAGTTCTCTGTGTCCTAATCATCTGTTCGTGCAAGTTGTAGCTCGAAGAAGCATTGAAGCTGTTCAACAAGCGTACGTGAACGCCGATGTTCATTATCTAATTTGTATTGCCAACCAAATACTGTCTGTAGAAATCCTATGAGGTCCTGTAAGTTTCAGCTTTGTATTCGAATCTCAGCTGACACAGTTCTACTATTTGTCCCTCCCTCGGTCGCTCATGGGTTTATCACAGGTCCGCTTCTCTGTCTTATAGATCACCCTGTTTTGTAGAAAATTTTATTTATCTTTAACCCACAGCGATTCTCATCCCTGGACCCCAACTGTGAAGGCGAGTTGTATGAACCGAAGTTAACTTCTTCATACTTATTAATAGGCCGTGGCCTACTGGTTCCTTCACACTTGCTCAAAACGTGCTAAGAGAGCGCGTAGAGGCAGGCTATGGGTAGGTATACGCGAACGGTGACCAAGCCATCGGAGGCGGTGTAGAGCGATTACTTCTGTTCGAGAACGAGTATCCACACCCAACAAACGCGACGAATTTTCTCATTGTTCATACGATGTTTCCACCAGACACGAGCAGTGCTTCGGAGACACAGAATGTCGGAGGGGCCAAGTCTCGCAACCACAAAGCAGAACACTACGAACTACTACTACCATATGTGTCGCAGGTTGGTAAACGCTGCTCTCGCTTTCACAATTCGTGATGTGATCTCCCTCGCAACACCAACCAGCTGCAATCAAGCTCCCGGGGTACTTAAAGTTCTAAACTACTTCTAGCTGATCATTACAGAGGGTGAGTGCGGGCACATGCGGCTGTCAGTTTTAAACAAGCAATGTGCACTTCGTTAGGAGAAGCCTAACCTTCTCTTTTCAGTCCACGTTTGGCCGGCACTACCAATAAAGGCTTCCACTGTTTGCAGCTGTCCTTTAACTGGGATCGTCGGAATACGCAGCGTGGGACCAGGTTCGCGGATAGTTTGGTGAGGCACAACACACTTGGATGGTGTAAAGCACATACCATGCCGGGATACGTCAACCAAGCTGAACTGGTTATGTATTGTCACCCAACAAGGCATATTCTAAGCCTAGTATTCGTTTTGTTGCGTGAATTTGTTCTCCATTGTCTGCTAGACTGGACGAAGCATTTTGTAGAACGTCCTTGGTGTGTCGTTCTCTAGCAGTTCGTACTCAGTCCACTCGAAGTCGTCCGTTTTACTTTTCACTCTGTTCCGGGATGTCACACTGGGGAAGTAGGGACGAACCAAGCCATGCCATTACATTTCTGCAGGGCCACATAGATATCGCAGGACGAGTGGATACCCCGAGAATTTTGCGTTGGGATGAAGCCCCGAATTGTTATTATTCAAAATCTAGAATAAACTATTCCTGCACTATTGTTCACAGTGAACTGAGTTAACTTGTGACAAATCTGTGAGAAATCTAGCTCTAACTTGATTTGTTAAATTTTACCCTAAATACCTGCATGAGTGAGTGGCTTTTAAGTATAGCTAACAGACAGTCAATTGTGTGATACTTCGTTGCTACCACGCATTGAGAATGACATCCGAGGAAACTGGAATCACTATTTCCAGTCAACTTC